AGACGGGATTAAATTTTTAATTCGGGACGGGATTTTTCCTGTGCATAAAAAGAAAGTCTTGAGTAGCCTATTGCAGTTACCAAAAAAGACAAACAAAATCAATTTTACCATTTATGGCACTGATCTATCAAAAGCAAAAAAGGGTAAAAATTTACAGGCATAGAAACTTGTGACTCGCGGTCGAAATGTCTCGCGATCACAGCGTGATCGTCGGTATGACTCGCGGTCACGGCGTTATCATCGGTATGACTCGAGGTCACGGCGCTATTGTCAGTATGACTCGCGGTCACAGCGTGATCGTCAGTATGACTCACAGTCAAAGCGTGATCGTAGGTATGACTCGCAGTCACGGCGTGATCGTTGGTATGACTCGCAGTCACGGCGTTATCGTCGGTATGACTCGCAGTCACAGCGTGATCGTCAGTTGAGTTACAAGAACTTTTGAACCATAGCTTTTACCAGAATTGGGGGTTGCACTATGTTGTTAAGAATTAAAAGGATTATCACATACTAAATTCAATCAAAACAGGTTTTTTCTTTAGAAATTAAGATTTTCTCTTTTTTCATGGCTTTGGATGGAAAGGATTTTATAGAAAACTAGCTGTAACCCGCGGGCTTTGCCCCGTTTAACTTCTTAATTTTCAAGATGATCTCGTTCGCATGGCTCAATCACGTCCTGGTTGAAGTTCGTTCGCTACGCTCACTCACCTTTAGGTTGGAGCTTGTTCGCTGCGCTCACTTGCCTTCAGGTTAGCTCGTTCGCTACGCTCACTTGCCTTCAGGTTAGCTCGTTCGCTATGCTCACTCACCTTTTGGTTGCAAATTAGCTGTTGTTATAAATGTAAAAGAAATAATAGTGCTGCACCCTGTTGGTAATCCTTGTAACTTAAATAACATCATAGAACAGAACCAACTTGTTTGAAATAGCTGTTAAGATTCATTAATTCCATTTCTCATAAGGTTATCATGGGAAACTCCAGAGCCACTGGGGCGGAGCCGATTGGACGGATCACGAAATTGATGGTGTATAAACCTATTCCATGAAATTCTACACGTATGTACCAAGTTTCGTGGCAATCAGTTCAGCGGTGTCTGAGTTTATCACTGCCAAACATATATATATATATTATATATATATATATATATATATATATATATATATACAAACATCCTCTTTTATACTTATAGATAGCATAATTTAAAATACAGTAGGATCTCGTTAATCCGGCCCTATATGGGGATTAGTAGGGCCGGATTATAGAAAATGCCGGATTAGTGGAAATGCATCAGAAATTGAAGTGGTTTTACAATAAACAACATTTTAATGCTTACGAAAACTATGATAACAATCATTTGAATTTCTGTACAGTATAGGCCTAATGAAATGTTGTTTAATGTATTATTGTGAAAAATAAACAGTGATATGAAACAGCAAACAACCGTACGGTACAATATCAGACAATGAACAAAGATAATCACTAAATGCTGTACGTGTACAAAATGAAAATTACAGAATTTTAGGCCTACTGTACACTTTACATGTAAGACCTACTTAAACAGCAGCAAAATAGTTTGTAATATTTTTCTGATTCTTTGCATTAAAAGAAAGTTTTAAAACATTTTCCTGGAGCCTCTTTAGTGTCATAATATCGGAAGCCGAAGCACCGTTTTCTTCCGCCCAAGTTATTGCAGTTGCGTAGGCACAGAGCGCCGAATCCGTGTTGACAGTGTGTGCAGCTGCAGCTGTCGACGTACTGGCTCCGCCCACTCCGCCCTCCTCGTCCCCCTCCTCCACGTCACTGCCGTCTAGAACATCTTCGATGATTTCATCGTCTGTCATGATTTGACACTGCTCGTCGTCTGCTCCGTCTAACCAGGCGGTAACATCGGCTGATGTCAGATCTTCTGGATCGTCTACTAACTGTTCGGCTATTGCTTCTCTCAAGTCATTTAGCTCAGCATCTGTTGTCACTGTCGTTTGAGGATTTGATTGTCTTCTGTAATCATCTAATAAATCAAGAGAAGGCCACAACTTCGCCCATGAACAAACAATTGTTTTTGTTGCAAGTTTTTCCCATGCGCTTGCAAGATTAAAAACAACATCTTTCAGGTTGGTTTCCTTCAGAGCTGTAACAACACCCCCCTCTTTTGACAAAACACTGTACAAAAGGGTTTTTTTGTAATTCGTTTTTATAGTTTGGATCACATTTTGGTCCATGGGCTGGAGTATCGGAGTTACATTTGGGGGCAAAAATAAAGCAGTGATTTTTTCAACCCTACTTTTTAACTCATCCTCATCTGGATGTCCAGGACAATTATCGAGCAACAAAAGGGTTTTTTGAGGCAGTTTCTGTGTTTTCAAAAACTCTTTTACTGATGGAACAAAAGTTTGATTAAACCATTCCGAAAAAAGAGTTGTCATCCATCCTTTTGTAAAGTTTGTGTATGTAACTGGCAACTGTGTGTTTTTGAAAGCCCTTGGCTTTTTGGCTTTCCCAATAACAAGCAATTCTAATTTATGCGTGCCACTAGCATTACAACACGGCATAAAAGTTACTCTATCTTTGGCCAACTTACGACCAGGGGCACTAGCTTCCTCTCTATGAACGAATGTTTGTTTCGGCAAAAGACACCAAAACAGACCACTCTCGTCAGCATTGTAGATCTGATCTGGGCCTAAGTCCATTTCATCCACGATTTCTTTAAATTTTTCAATAAAAGGTTCTGCAGCCGCTACATCACACGAAAGCCTTTCACCAGTCATAGTTAGCAGTCGAATTCCAAAGCGTCGTTTGAATTTATCCAGCCACCCAACACTTGCATGGAAGTCGTCCTTTTTCATGATTTTGTTATAGAACAGTTTCGCCTTTTCCATTATAATATCACCTGAAATTGGCGTGTGTCGGCTCCTTTCTTGCATGAACCAATTATAAAGTGCGTCTTCTACTTGCGGAAATTCGCCTACTTTTAATGTCTTTCTTACCTTCGAAGATGATTCACTACTCCTCTTAAAGAATGATTCGATTTGCTCCTTCTTCTTCTTTATGTCGTGTATAGTTGCACGGCCGATATTGTATTCCTTAGACAGATGAGCCAACTTTTCACCCTTTTCCAAACGTTTTAAAATCGTATACTTTTTATCTAAAGTCAGCGTTACATGCTTACGTTTTCCCGACATCGCACTACACTTGTAGATTGTATAGTATATACACTGCACAGTACTCACAACACTACCTTCACTCAACTCACACGCTACGCACTGTACGCAACTACCCGTAGCAGACATCAGTCGTCAGTGTACTGCTGTTGTGAAATATGGACACTCGCGTTTTCAAATCTAGACATGAAAATTTACTGAATAATCGTCGGAAACACAGTGCCGGATTACTGGACGTGCCGGTCTAATGAAAGGCCGGATTATAGAGACTCTACTGTACATCTTGAACCGTAATTTTTACAGAAATTGGATTTATACTATTTTGTTCAGAATTTAAAGGCCTACAACATAGGCTACTATTTATTTTCAAAATCGTTTGCGTCATTTTAAAGATAATCCGTTTTTTTCATTATTTTATGGGAAAATCGACATTAAAAATCAATTTTAAAAAAAAGGAAAAAAAGGCCGAAGAAACCAAGGATTAGTACCTAAATACCAAATTTAATCAAAATCTGACCCAAAGTGTCAAACACATAAACACATACAGACACACCAACACACACACACACACAGACATCAAATCAAAAACCACTTTTTTGGGCCCTGGGGACCCAAAACGGATATATATAGACTCAAAACTCATACTCGAAAATTTTGACGTAAACAATACTTTATACTAATAGGGAGAGAAAGTAAAAAAAGTTGTCAAAGATTTGCTACACCCTCCTGTATAAACTCGTACCGTACTAAGCATACGGACAGTACGTGCAAAGGAGTAAACAAAACAGGGTATCGCGGGCGCGACAGTAGCCTACTACATCAGGAGCAATGACCTAAATCGCATTCACACAGCTGCGCTGCCGCTGAGTACAAAAAGTCTAATCCAACAGTCAAGTCTAGTCTGGTCCGCCGCTAAGTTCAGTCCAGTCCAATTGGCAGCAACTGTAGCGCACCAGGCGACGGTTCCATGAACTTTGTGGTGACGGTGCTGCGATCTAAGTAGAGGGGTCAGTATTACGTGCACCCACGGTGGACAAAGTCAAAGTCAAAGTATTTTTTATTTCCAAATTTTTACAAATTTGATTGAAATATAAAACAATTTCTTAGCAGGTATCTTAAAAATACAAACTGACCTTTTGATGATAAGAACATACTTAGACAAATACTAAAATGCACACTAAAACACAATGAAAATTTAAATCTTACCTACAACTTAATCTATATGGAAATAAAATACTAACGTGCTAGGAAAGAATTTCCTGCTCGCACGTAGGAGTTACAAGTCTGAATACAAAGTGATTAAAATATAGTATTAGCTAACATTAAATGACAATATAAGTTAGATGGCCCATCTTGACAAATTTTATATACAATTCCTGTTTATAGAAAAATAGGACATAAAGGTTAACAAAGGTCTTGAGATTTAACAAAAAATCTTATTGAACAGATGTTTATAAAAAGTATTCTAAAATAAGAAGCCCCTGCTACAGACTAAACATAATTTTTAATATATAACCACAGAATCTCTTGTTGTTAAGTGATGTTCCAAATTATCCTCGATAAATTACTGAAAATTTGAAAACAAATGCAAAGATAAAAATGTTTCTATATTGTGTCCTCTTCCCGTAGCAAAGCATGGGTACAACAGCTAGTATATTATAACTGAACGATTGATTAAAAAACTAAATTAATATATGGATGGATGAAATTAAATTTGGGATGTTAATTTGTTACAAGAGTGTCAAAAGTTAAAAGATGGACAGCCTGCAATGAACCAATAATTTTAATTTTCAGGCCATGTTGGCAGCTGTGCGCCATACATTTATTACACTTGAAAGCCTACCTGTTTGTTCTTAGCTTGGTCTTCTGGTGGAATAGTCTCAGCTTTCCTTTTTCTTCCCCTTTTCTTGGTAGGTGTCATGGAAGAACTATCCAAAACTTTTTCTATCAGCTCTTCTCTTGTGAATGATTTAGGAAGCATCAGTGGAAAATGGATTGTGAAAAATTCTATACGCTCTTCCCTAAATAAGGAAACAAGAATTATTGTTATGCCAGCATTTAATATTAAAGTGGAAAGTTATTAATGCAGTTGATAATTGATAAAAACTGCATAAACTAAATACAAGATTGCCAACAAAAAATCCAATTACTATTTAAATATGTAAGTAACAAAAACTATTGGAAGTATTGTCTGATCACAAGGCCTACTGCATACTTAGATTCAGGATGTCTATAACAATTTTTAAACTTCCTGAAATTTGCTTACAAGTTCTATCCTTTTTATTAATATATAAAATGATCAAAAAATTCCAAAAAAAACCCATAGTGGATGGTCAACACAAGAGTTAGGAAATAATCACTTCCACTGTACTTGGGAGTTAACCTATTCGTGTACATTATTAAATTTATTAAATTGGTTGTTATTTTTTAAGGCCATTAACCAAATATATTAGTGATGGGCGGATCCAAGAAAATGTCGGTACCGAATCCGGATCTTGAAAAATTTGGATCCGGATCCAGATACACACTGTCATAAGGGCGGATTAAAACGTAATTAACAGAATGCCAATTTAAATCATACTGTTTAAAATTAAATTGGTAATGTTTAAAGGTTAATATATCTTATATATTGAGTAATCACCAGTTGAGCCCATAATCCTCATTTTTTGGGGACACTAAAACTTTTCAAAATCATAAAATAAAACTTTGTGCTAAGTTTGCACCACCTCCAGGGTATCTCTGTATACTTTACTATAGTTCGATCTTGAGTATGCTATATCATGGTTTTTGCATGCAGCATTCAATTTATTTTTGCCTGGATCACCTCTTGTTCATTTCTTCCTTAAATTCGCTCCAGGTCCACAGTACTGATAGCCGGGTATGTGAAGTTCTACAGGTAAAATACCCTTTGTCTGTGTACAAGATGACTATACTGTGTTCTAACTTAGAAAAATATTAGATGGGGGAGTCTTGACTTTTTATTCACCCTGTATGTACACAGATAATCTTCTTGTACACAGACACAGGGTATTTTACCTGTAGAATTTCACATACCCGGCTATCAGTACTGTGGACCTGGAACGAATTTAAGGAAGAGATAAGCAAGGGGTGATCCAGGCATAAATAAATTGGATGCTGCACGCAAAAACCACGATATAGCATACTCAAGAAGATCGAAGGATAGTAAAATTAGATCAGTGGCTGACAGCTTATTTGCTTATATTGCAATACTATTACTATATATTGCAATACTACTACTCTAGTATTGGTGAGAGAGCTACCGCCTGGGCAGTTACTAACATAATGAAAACTAAAGCAAAACTTGGTGGGGGAAAAGGGAAGACTTCAAAAATTAAAAAACAAATAAGATAGAAAAACCTGTTAGGAAAAATAAAAAAAAATCCTAAATGTGCCTGCAAGAGGAAAAATAAAAGTGGTAAGTGGTAAGTGGTTCTATTTTAGACCTTATACAGGATCTGGTAGTAAAAGTAAAAAAAAAATACTCATAGGAAATAATTGAAAGACTTCCAGAAAAACCATTAAGCAGTTTGGACATAAAACTTGCTGCTGATTTTAAGTTGCCTTATTTTAGAGGAGTCTTCTTGTACACGGACACAGATAGGCTTCTAGTACACAGTCACAGATAGTCTTGTACATGGATACAGACAGCTTTCTGTTAATAAAAAATTTGGGAAAAAATCAGAGCTTCAAGTAACATCTCTCCAGATGAGCATAATAACTTCTTGTCATCAGTAAAGGAAATAAGTTCTAAAGTGAAAGGTACAGTGAGTGATGCCAATCAGTTGTTAAATGTGCTTATCCCGCCAGCTAAAAAGTGTGAATTTTCTAAGGTAACTTGCACCTAAGTTCGTAAAATTGTAAAGTCTTTAAAAAGCACCAATAGTAAATATATTTATGGTTTAAGTAGTAGCTTAGTTAAGTCTATAAGTACCTGGGGACCGAGCTTTGCTCGGGTAACTTTATTAGTATCTGAGAGTATTTTTGGTTTATGTCATCTGATCCAAAAATATTGTTTTGCAGTCTATTATCTGTTTAAAATAATATCGTAGATGACTGAAATGATGAGAAAAAAAAAGATTTAAACATTTTTTTTGGAGACGTTTTGGACATAAACTTCTTAAATTATAGAAAATACCCAGTATTTTGACGCTGAATTCAAAAAAGTCTATCAGTAGAAAGAAAATCGTCACAGCTTCCTTCCCTTGAAGTATTAGTCACTACAAGAACTTGTGCTTGCTTCCCAGAACCTTTCCTTTAATCTTAATTTTCTTAAAATGTAATAGGCCTAACATTTTCCAGGAACTCAAGACTTTTTCTAACTGAAAACTATTACATTTTTGGATTTAGTGAGAATAATTCAGTAAGGGGATGCATTATAATGCAATTTTTATTAGGGTGGGTTATATTGAACTTTTGCCATACTTTACATACTTTAAACTACTTACATTAAAACTTACATACTTTACATTAAAATGTTAGTTAGGTGCATTCTAAGACTAAAATTAATCTCTTGACACTACTTAATAAATCCTCATCTTATGAACACAAAATATACTAAAGTATCTTTACAATGCTAAAGTATATTCATAGATTAGCCTCTAAGGCAAGTGTAGGCTTTGGCATTTGTCAACTTGCAACATTTATCGTCGGGCGACTCGCTGCATGCTAGCTTACTGTCGGGGAAAAAAGTTTAGACACTCGAGTTTGGAGCTCTACAGAAAAGTAACTAAACTAACTTAGAAAAACACGTAGTACATATAAATTTTCGTTGTTTAATTCTACGTATTCCTGAAAAAACATTTTTTTTTTTTAGCTCGCTTGGAAAATTTTTTATGACAGTCGGAAGGTAAAAACTCCCTGTTTTTAGAGTATCAAAAACCATCTTAAGACTTTGAAAATTCGCACAATGTAAACTAAATGTCAGAACTTTATCAAACTTTAATACAATATAGACACATATATAATGAATTAATTTGTGTAGTTTCAGAATTTTTACTCTGCCCAAAAAGTTTTTGTTGTAACTTTTGTAAATAAACTTTTTCTCAAAAACGGCAAACACTAGAAAAAAAAAATTAAAAGCTTGTTTTGAAGGTGATTGGTTTTGTATTTGAAATATTAATACTGTTCAACCAGATTGTTAGGTATGTTATTTATATAGATTAACAAAAAACTGGATGATCTCGCGCCTGCATGGGGTGCAAACGCCATCACCCGTGCAGGAAACCAGTGCAGTGTTGCCACGATGGACCTTGACCGAGCGTAAGGTGATTCCTCACGCAGTGTGTGTCACTGACGACTGACTCACAGGAAATATCATGTTTTGCATTCTTCCAAAGGGTCCAAAGTATTACCATCCCAAATATGCAATCACTAATCCACCTCAGTCTGTCTTCAATTTTAGCTAGTGTCACGTCGCTAAAAATGGGTGCTAAATCTAAATTGTCAGATTCGGAATATGCAATTGTCAGTGCTATATGTTTTTTTAGAAATGAGATAAAAAGCCCAACTAAAGTTTTAGTTGGAGGTAAAAAAGCCCTCATTAGAAAATGTGATGGGAAATGGTTAGTAATTAATAATAACTGCTGTTCAATTTTGACTCAACAGTTCGCAGCCTATCGCTGCTGAGTGTCCAGGTGTTCAATTTGGCAACACTGTACGGGGTATGCGCCCAGTCAGAGCCAGCGGCGGTCTGGAAGTGCCGTATTCGGCCTCTGTGCTATCCAAATTAAATGTTAACTTGTATAAATAATATGCATCATAATTTGGTTGAGCAGTATCAATATTTCAAATACAAAACCAATCACCTTCAAAACAAGCTTTTGAATTGTTTTCTAGCGTTTGCCGTTTTTGAGAAAAAGTTCATTTGCAAAAGTTACAACAAAAACTTTTTGGGTAGAGTAAAAATTCTGAAACTACACAAATTAATTCATTATATATGTGTCTATATTGCATTAAAGTTTGGTAAAGTTCTAACGTTTAGTTTACATTGTGCGAATTTTCAAAGTCATAAGATGAGTTTTGATACTCTAAAAACAGGGAGTTTTTACCTTCCGACTGTCATGAAAAATTTCCTAAACGAGATAAAAAAATTTTGTTTTCACAGGAATACGTAGAATTAAACAACGAAAATTTATATGTACTACGTGTTTTCTAAGTTAGTTTGGTTACTTTTCTGTAGAGCTCCAAACTCGAGTGTCCAAACTTTTTTCCCCGACAGTAGTTTTAAAACTAATGGTTGTATCTATAGTATACCATATAACATTGTACATGAAAATTTTGGAAAATTTACAAGATGCACATGGGAATGGTAACATGGTCAATGGTGAAAATAAAATCGTTAGCTTGTGAGTTTGACAAGTCTGCAGAAGTTTCTTGTCTCTTGGCCACATTGCAAGGCTCATTGGACCTGCATACATATATCGATTTTTTTTTCTTGGAAAAACTTTTATTTTTGTGGTCAACACCTTCTAGGCCTGTGCAGAGATATTTTTAATAATGATGAACTCTATGACCACAGAAACAACTATCAAACAGCTCAAACTGTTGATCAGCCGTTATGGCATACCCTCTACAATTGTGTCTGATAATGGTACATGTTTCACTTCATCAGACTTTGCTAATTTCTGTAAACACTCTGATATAAAATACATAACAACACCAGAGAATCACCCATCATCAAACAGAAAAGTCGAGAAGTGTGTGGGAACTATGAAAAACACTTTAAGGAAGCTTCATAACGAGGTTTCACCAAAGGGAATAGATGCAGATTTGAATAACTTCTTGGTCAAATACAGGATAACGCCTCATGTGATAACTGGAGTATTCCCAGCGTAGCTATTTTTAGGAAAGAAATTGAAATGTCAGCTTGATTTTTTTCGGCCGGAGAAGAGTGGAAACCAAACTTAAGAGACAGGATCATCCGAAATACCCCCGTCGCAGCAAACCTGCATACTAAGCGAATTTCCATTTACCCGGCTTGATTTCTACTAAAATATTCCCT